GTAGAGGCTTACATCTAATCAATTCAATCAGTTATTTACGGACTAACGCAATCTCGGTCATGCTTTTGCTCGGGTCATTAAGTCTTGATGGCCCGAGGCTGACTAAGCTTCTTTTATTACTCTGAGTCCTGTCCTGTTTACGTACAGACGTTAACATATACAAACACATTCGAGTATAATTGAATTAACCAAACATTTATACATCCATCTATATCTAACTTTATTCCCAATTAATACATATATTATATAGGAAAAAGCAGATCAATCTTCTTGATTTAGTGTTAACTTGAGGCTTTTGCAAGAATGAGTCCCAGCACTGACGAACGAAAACTCAGCTCGTCTTTTCCCGAAACGTTGGAGGATGTTTAGGAGATTGCATTAACCTGAACTTCGTATTAATATCAAACGGCTTTGGTAAAACGCGAATTAGCTGGTGTCTTTTGGTGAGATCACTCTACGAATCTTTTCATCATCTCCCATCCGAAATTTAAGTATTCACAATAACCTTATCTAATGAGCTTTTTCGAAACCTGTATTTTCTTCTTATAATCTGTTAAATTGGCTTCGAGACAACATTTTGATAATTTTTTCTGACTTGGTATATTTTTCTTCACCTCACTGCTCTAGTAAGTGTTGAAATGCATTATCATTTGCTCCTCTATCTTTCAGGTTATGGGCCTGATGGTTTTCAGAACATTAAGCAGCATCCCTTCTTCGCCAACATCAATTGGGAGCACTTGTACCACAAGAAGCTCATTCCTCCCTTCAAGCCACCCTGCACTAGAGTTGATGACGCATTTAACTTCGACCCTGAGTTTACTGTAAAAACACCGTTTGGTTAGTTCACAACCTTTCGTTCTTGTAAATTTTCTTTATAATTTTTTCTCAAGCTCATTACATACATGAAACGTTAATTTTCGACAAGCTTTGATCTATTTACCTTAATACTTTGTGCCCTCCTACTTTGCTAGACTTTTATATCTTGCAAGGTTCATTTTTATCCAATACTTCATAATTTTTTTTAGATTCGTCTATATTATTGTGTTGTAGCCTTATTGGTATCCTTTAAACTGTTGCCTTTATGACATGTGTTATTTTGGTGTTTTTCTGTACTATCAAACGTCATCAGAGCAAGAATCCATAAAAAATAGCGCAGAAAATGTACAGTACGAAGAGAAAAGTTGGCCTGGTGCAACCCTAGTTATTTTTTTAATCTATCTTTGAAATCTTACTGTGGCATCCCATGACTTGGTTGCTACCTCAGCCTTGCAGATGAGTTAATTTATGAACAGTAATTGAATGCGGTGGCAGCTATTTCTTTACCTAAATACATTGGCATACGATTTTCTCATATTGATTCATGTTTGGGTGCATTATTGTTTGTATATGTAATATTCGTGTGTAGAAAGTTATGCTCATCTTGGCTATGCTCGAGGTTAATCCAGCCTCTAGCTGACTTGCTCTCCCATTCTCATTCTCTCCTTAAGCCTATCCAACAGCCATCAAGAGTTTAAACTCAACTTCCTTTGATTCACGAAGTTGGCTGTTTTGTTAATTTATGTAGACTTTCTAGTCTTGCGCTTTGATGTGAAGTCCCTGTAACCAGAAGAATAGGCTTGAGGTAAGTCTATTTAATTTCCAATTTTAGCCATGTGTTCAGCAAACTCTGATTTTTGGACCCATATACCTTTACGAGCGGTGTTCTGTTCACATGGATGTACTATAGATATAAACGAATATCTCACGAAGGAGAATCCTCACGGCGCTGCTTCAGATCTTGGGAAGAGAAAATGGAATCCTGTAGACGGAATGAATTCGAAAAGAATGTCTTCCCTAATTTATTAATCTAACGGAAAGGATTATTTGTTTCACTGCCAAATCCGTGGATAAATTTTTGCTCTAAAAGAGTGGTCTGATCTGGTTTTCGCAGCTTGTCGTGTTGTTAGGGTAAATTAGTTGTAAGCATTTTTTCCTTAGTCCTCTGCCTTATTAGTTATCATGTTTCCCAGCATTGGAGCGTGGACTTGGTACATTCCTAGCCGCTTCGCCGACATCTTTTATGAATCTTGGGATTACTAGCACCAAGCTACAACTCGTCAAAGAGTTATTTGCGATGCCGGGTGGGATTGTAACAAGTCTACGGTCCAACGCTGGGACTGCTATAGCAGAGAACTTCGGTGCGTCAAAACTTACTGCCACTGAAAACACGACCAAGTTGCGAAAACGAAGTCAGATCAATTATATACATTGAAAGGAGACTTAGATCGAAATAGAGGCCACAAAACTTTGTTCTTCATATTCGTTCTTTAATATTTTGTCTGTATTTGCTTACGATATTTTTGGCTAGTGTTCTTATGAACAAGTTAGGGGGGCAGCAACTAACATTTATGATTCAATAGCTGAAAATAAAGATTGTAAGAATTCTTAATTTCCCTAAACATTACTGTTTAAAAAGTTAAATTCGCATTGGATTTAGTAGATAAATGACACTGTATGCAGAGGTCTTTGGTTTGGGGGAGACTCAAGAAAAGTTTGTTTAGATTGGCATCAGATGCAGGAATAATCCTTAACTTTCACTCTCATCATATGTACCGAATGAAGATTGGAATAACCAAGAGTATGATCATAAGAGGCTTACGACTAACCGATAGTGATTCTTGGGAAGATGAAGTGAAAAAACTAACTCAGATATTTCTTAGAAGCAATACAAAGAAACATACGGATCGTGATGAACAGATCGCAGGATGGGGATTATGAAAGTTAAATAAAGGAAACCGAGGTAAAACGATTGATATTTCTACCCTTCTGCGAACTGGCTCAAGCTGCGGCCGCTGCTATTGTTATGGAACATTCTATCGATTCTGAAGGAAAGCACAACTATTTACCAGCTTACCCAAAAAGCATGAAGAAGTCAAGAAAATGGAGTGTTTCTTTGTTTGCAGCACAAACTACAAGGATTGCAAAGGAAAGTATATCGGAGAGACTGGAAGGGCAATCAGCACAAGGGTCAAAGAACGCCAGCGGCTGCAGAAAGATTGATACTTATGATATTACCTGATAAAGGATTTTCCCAAAGCTATTGATCTGTTTACTTTTCATAGAGCTGGTCTGGAATCTGCGACCGCTACTGATGAAATCGAGCATTTGTGCAGTCTTGTAGGAAAGAACAACACTCTTCCTCAGCCTGACCAATTGAAATGAAGGAGTTAACACAATGTGCTCAGAAAGAAGTCCTACGCTGGAATAATACTCAATTTTCTGCTATCACAATTACAGGCTAAAGATTGGTATAATGAGCATCATTATCCGAAGTCTACGCCTGACGGATGCAGATTTCTCAGACGAGGAGCTGGACAAATTGACTAGGATCTTTCTCGACAATGGCTTCCAAAACGAAGTGATACAAAGAAACATACAGGCCGTGAAAAGCTGATGGCGGAACGGGGACTATGAAATAACAGTCAAGGCGATGAAAGATTCACCAAAATGGATATGCCTACCTTCCAGCGAATTAATTCAAAAACGACGACCAATAGAATATTCAGGTGGCCATGAATGAGAAATCAAGACTTTTAACAAGTCTACAAACGCAACATAAAAGGGTAGACAAATTGAACAGTTCAGAAGTTTACCATATATCATGCGGCGGCTGCGGACAGAAATATATTGGCGAAACAGGGAAAAAAATTAGCACACGAATCAAGAAACCTCAGAGGCTATGCAGCAAAATAGATACCTGAGGATCAAAACTAGTGGAACACATCGCACAGACTGGACATGGGATCAATTGGAAGGCAACAGAAAGGAAAGCTCCATACGGTGACAACACAAGGAAGCGGAAGATTAGGAAGGCCATTGACATCCTTGGGGATACAAATCTAATGAACGGGAGATTGGAGGAAGGTAGAGTTAGCGATAACTTTGCTTACTACCTAAGCAAAATCAAAGAAAACAATAGAGCAAGACCAGCAAAAAGGAGACGCCTGGACCAAGGATCTGCCGCTAACCGGAGGAAAAGGGATTGTGATGACGAAAGTGGGGGGCAATTAAGCGAAGACGTTGTCAGTGAGGATGGCCATTTTGAATAAAACAGTACAACTTTGGGGGCCTGGCAGTCAGGGAACTGGGCAGACGTATTAGCACACCGTCATAGAAATTAGAGGTTCTAGCCAAAATGCACTATAAATCCAATTGAGATGCTGCATGCGACCAGAGATAGGCGTTCGCAGTTTGCTCAGGGAACATGGGTTTAATCAAGTAGAGGACCGATGTAGGCCTGATATCTGCAAGCATAGGAATCAGAGTTTAAGCGCTCCGCTCTGTGAAGCGGCAGTGTATGTGCTTCTAGGGCCTTGAGAATTAACGCCTGGATTAAAATGCACACAGGGACTGGACCCGAGTGAAATCGGTCAACCAGAAAGATAAGGAACCAATCTACGAGACAATGAAAGAATCCGGATTGGAGGCTCGAGTCGGATAAGCCCATCGAAAGAGTCGGGATAAATAGCAAGTGTGATGAGGCCACACAAGGTTTGCCACAAAATGGCACACATTTTGACGATTGGAATGTAAACAAATGAGAAATTGTGATAGGGTGGCAGTGCGATAAGAATGTAAAGAGTATATAGATAGACAATGACAGAAAGGGGAGTGATAGTGTAACCGTTTTTGGCAGAACGGTTGTCGAGGCATTGACTTCACTTATCTCTTTTGACAAGTTCCTAGCTTAGTGCGGAGAATGGCAAAGCTCACTGATGATGCGGACTACGATGTCAACGAAACGTTTGAGAATGTATCAAGTCCACCCTCAGATGCTGGGAATCATGACAACTAGTTAGGCAGACGACTTCTGACTAGGTGCGTTCGTCTAAGTCACCCTGACAACAAGACCAAGTTGCGACAACGAGGTCAACCCACTTCTTAATTTGGCTTGTTTGCTCGTGTGTCGTGTGCACGTCATGCTCACGAGTTGTGTTGGTTGTAATGTTCCTAAACCCAGAGATTATTCAAAACCTCTTTTTACTCCCAAATTCTATCCAACAACTTCATATTCTGCTCTATTTCTATCTAGTGTACTGGTCACCCGGTGATTTCTATATTCCATAATTTTTTCGCTTCTTTGTTTTACCTTCATATTCTGCGGTGCGTTTGACTTTAGACCGTTTCATCTGATATCCTATATAAATCTTGTACTCTGCTAGATTTTATTTTTTGACATAAAAATCTTTGCAGGCTGTTCTATGCTCATTTAATCTATTATGTATGATCTTATCCACTTATACATTACCATATGGACACAAAACCTTATGACAGTCTTGTCTTGAGACAGTGAGAAAATTCCCGTAGACCTGGCCTTAAGAAGAAAGTGCTAATTTCCTGTACATTTTAATGTCCCATTTCTTCAGTACTTTCCCTATTTTTTTAGTGGTTTACATGATCGCATCATCAGGACCATATTGGAGTAATTCAATCCTCCTTCTTTCGGTATGCTATTTTCTAAAATAATTGTCCATTAATCCTGATGGATCGCTCTGAACTAAAGGCTTCCTTGTATTCCCACCACCTAGTCCTAGTGATTAGCACCTGTTCCTCATTGTCTTAGATTTCATTACTCTTGATATTACCCCATTGGTAGGATATGAAAAATCCATATAAAGCTGATATTTGTGCGTTTAAATCACGCATTTTTACTAATTTTGGCTCCTTTTAATTACTAGGACATGCGTATAGGTAATCTACCCCATTTAAGCAATGAATTTAGTTTCAGAAATTGAAAAAAATAGGATGCTATACATAAAATTTGTGTTACGAACATAAATAAAATATAAACTATTGTGACTTACTACATCAAGACATACAAGCAACTATAGTTTCTATTGAAATAGGCTGACTTCATTTTTCAACTTGGTCTTGCTGTCAAAGGGACTTAATAGAACGCATCTTGTCCAAAGTCCTTTCCCATAATAGCTATCATAATTCTCAGCATCAGCCCGTAGACCAGTTACATTATCAAACGTTTCGCCGGCATCATAGTCGGCGTCATCAGTGAGTTGCAACCCGGCGAACAAAGCTACAAACTCGACAGAGACAAATTTAGTCAAACCCTCAATCATTGTTCTGCCGAAAACGGTTGTAGTATCGCTTCTCTTTCTATCTTGGCCTTCCTACCTAATCCTGACCATCTTGATCAACTCCTACCCTATCACAACTTCATACTATTTTACATTACACTCGTCAAAATGTGTGACCTCTTTTAACGAATTGAGTATGGCCCCATCACACCTGCTATTCACTCTGAACCGCTCCTTTTTGATCGGCTAATCCGACTCGTGCCTTCTATCCGGATCTTCCTCATGGTCCCACAGATCCGTTTCTTATCTTTCGAGTTAACTAATTTCCCTAATGGACACTATAATTTTACATTTTCTTAATATTGGCCGAAGTATTTGAGCTAGTTCTCGGTATTTACTGTTATTTCGTAGTCCCTTTCTGCCCTCAGCTTAACATGGCCCTTGTGCTTCTTTATGTTACTTAGCTTAAGCAATTGTTGCCCCATTATTCTTGTCTTTAACCTGT